ATTAGAGTCTTTGGGAACACGTTTTGAAACTTTGGGAACGCGTGTTGAAACTTTGGGAGCACATGTTGATGACCGCCTGGAGGGCATTAGCGGCCAGCTACAACAACACAGCTCCATGCTAGCATCGATAGCTAAAACGGTGCAACTGAACTCTGAGGATATTCAAGAGTGTAAAAACAAAGTTAAAAGCTTGGAGACGCAAGTCGAACTTCTTCTAAAGGAAAAGGAGGAAATGAAGGAACATTTGGCGGGTCAAGAAAGATATAAAAGAAGATGGTGCCTACGGATTAAAGGAAAAAAGGAGAAAGTGAATGAAAACATCAGAGCTGAAGTCGTGGAGTTGCTGAGCAGAATTCTCCCTGATCTGGCTGGAAAGATGGAGGATGCTGTTGACATCGTTCACAGAGTGGGAAGATCAACGGAAGGTCGACACAGACAAATTATAATCCTCTTCTCCAAGAGAAGTGTCAGAGATGAGGTGTGGAAGAAAACAAAGTCATCACAGATCTGCAGAGATGAAGGTCTGAAGTTTGCAGAGGACCTGAGCCAGGAGGACTTGAAGTCAAGACAAGCGCTGTGGCCGAGAACTGAGCAGGCAAGAAAGGAGGGTAAGGCTGCAGGATTCAGAGGAGCCTTCGCCTACATAGAAGGGAGGAGAATTTTTTAGCTGAAGTTCGAGCACTGTTTAGATGTTTAGATGAAACTTGAAGCTTTTCTGTTACAGTGGAGATTCTTTTGTTTTTCAAGGGTCTATTAAGGGGACTCTACTCTCAGGGTTTTTTACTCTACCTCCTATAACCTAAGTTTTTTATTTTTTATTTGTTTTCTATTGTTATTGTTCTTAATGTGTTCAGTATTCAATTTAAAGACTGAGATTCTATTTTCTTCTTTTAATGCAAGAGGGCTCAAAGACTCTATTAAGCGTAAGGCTGTTTTTTTATTTTGCAAAGGTCAAAAGGCTAACTGTTTCTTTCTTCAAGAGACACACTCGGAGTTCACTGATGTGAAGTTTTGGACTCAACAATGGGCTGATAAGATCATTTTTATTCATGGCACAAATCGTTCTGCAGGAGTAGCTATTTGTTTCAATAGATGTCCAGGAAAGGTCATTTTTCAGGAAATAGACGATGCTGGACACTGGGCAGCATGTGTCTTAGATATCGACAGCAATTTGTTCATCATTGTTAATGTTTATGGATACAACAACGACCAAAAAAACAAACAGTTATTACATCAAGTCACAGCAATTATAAAAAAAATGCAGTTGAATTATCCCACTGAGCACGTTGTTGTTGGGGGTGATTTTAATTGAACTCCAGATGAATGATGGACAGATGCCCTTCCAAACAATCTCAGATGACATTAAACCCAATCATGGGTGGCTTTATGAATACCAATAAACTTGTTGATGTTTGGAGAAACATAAACTCTAACATTAGACAGTATACTTGGTTTAAACCTAACGGACAATCAAGATCAAGAATTGGTTATTGGTTAATTACAGATTCTATACTTGAACACGTCACAGAAGCCAAGATCTCTTGTAGCCCTTTAAGTGATCACTGCACCATAAACCTGCGAATATCCAAAAATGAAACTAAAAATAATTTCAAAGGTTACTGGAAATTCAATGCTAACTTATTAAAGAATGACGAATATTGTAAAAGTATAAGTAAAATAATTCAAGATGTAAAAAATGACAAAAGTTTAGTGACAGCGAGACAAAAATGGGAATTCTTCAAATTTACTGTTAGAAAATTTTCTATTTCCTTCAGCAAAAAATTACAAAAAGAGAGACAAATGGAAGAAACTAAACTAACCAAGGAACTAATCTTATATTATCATAAATCTGACTGGAGTGAGGAAGACAAAATTAATATGAATAATTTACAATGTAAACTGGATGAATATGATCAAAATAAAGCCCGTGGAGCATACATACGGTCAAGAGTCAGGTGGCTGGAAGAGGGTGAGAAAAATACTTCATATTTTTGTAATTTGGAAAAACAAAGACAGATGAAAAATACAATGAACAGTCTCATAATTAATGGTGAGGAAGTTACAGAAACAAAACAAATATCCAGAGAAGTTAAGGACTTTTACAGTAATCTGTTCACATCCTCATATTCTAAACAAGACTCAGAATCCTTTTTTATAAAAATTAAAAATGTGATCCCTAACATCGATGAGACATTTAGGTCCATTTGTGAAGAGGATTTTCAAATAGAAGAATTTGACTGTGTTATTAAAAATGTAGCATCAGATAAAGCTCCTGGATCAGACGGTATTACAGCAAATTTTTACAAATTCTTCTGGAAGGACATAAAAATACTGTTGTTTGATGCAGTTATGGAGTGTATTCATAAAAAAGAATTGATGACAACAATGAAACAGGGTGTCATCATATTGATACCCAAACCAGGAAAAGATAAAACAAACTTGAATCATTTCAGACCCATCACACTTCTCAACACAGATTATAAAATATTTACTACAGTTCTTGCAGCTCGGTTAAAAGAAGGTTTATCTGATATAATTAGCTCGACTCAGTCTGGTTTTCTCAAAGGTAGATAAATTAATAACAATATTCGTCTGGTTCTAGATTTAATTGAATAAGCCCACTTAATTCCTGATGACGGTATGATCTTATTTCTGAATTTTCAGAAAGCTTTTGATTCGGTGGAGCATCCCTTCATTTTTGAAACATTCAAACATTTTGGCTTTGGTGAGAAGTTTTTAAACATAATCAAAATGCTGCATACAGATGTTAACAGCTGTGTTTCCTTAGCAGAAGGAACAAGTCCCAGATTTACAATAAAAAGAGGGCTTAGACAAGGATGCAGTGTTTCACCTCTCCTGTTCATCACCGTTACTGAGCTCTTGGCTGTCTCTATAAGAAACTCCAGACTTCATGGTTTACAAATTATGAATCAGAATATTATTATAAGTCAGCGAGCAGACGATACAACTCTGTTTCTAAAAAATAAAGATCAGATTCCACTGGCGATCCAAACAGTAGAAGCATTCTCTAAAGCATCAGGATTAAAGTTAAATTTGGAAAAGTGTGATTTAATGAGTATTCATGATTGTTCTCAATCATCTTATTACAATATACCGGTCAAACTGGAGGTTCGATATCTGGGCATTTGGGTCACAAAAACTGCAATTGTGTCAAACTGAATGTTGACAATAATATTACTAAATGCAAATTGATATTAAATAACTGGTTGCAGAGAGACTTAACTCTTTCTGGTAGGACATTACTAACCAAAATGGAGACTCTATCAAGACTGGTTTACCCTGCATCCTCCATAGCCATACCTCCAAAGATTATTAAGGAAATTAATAAATTAAACTTTAACTTTATTTGGAGAAATAAACATCATTATATCAAAAAAGGAGATACAGTTAAAAATTATGAAGATGGTGGGATTAAAGCAATAGATATTGAAATAATGAATGGCGTATTAAAACTTAAATGGCTTCAATCTTTTCTTAAAAATGGTCATGAGCTTGGGTTTGCTGTCCCCACTTTGGTTTTTGTAAAGTTGGAGGTATTGACTTCCTGTTAAGATGTGACTTTGACATTCCTAAATTACCTGTTAAATTATCTGCTTTTCACCAACAGGTGTTATTGAACTGGAAACCAGCATACAAACATAACTTCAGTCCTCATGATGGTCCTTTTTGGAACAACAGAGTCGTTTTACATAGAAGGAAGTCTGTGTTCATGGAAACATGGATGGAGAAACAAATATGGTCACTCACTCATCTCATGGATGAAAAGGGAAATTTATATGACTTTGAAGAATTCACAAAAAAATATAATCTAATCTGTACCAAAAAAGACCATGATAAAGAAACAAAAAATATACCAACTGCATTTGTTCAGTTAATAAAGAATAATTATGAAACTAAACCAACAATTAGTTTACCGAGCATCAATCTCAGTGGACTAAATTTAACACACAATAAATGCAACAACAAATTTTTAAGACAACATTTAATAAAAACAATATATTCTGGTCAGGTAAGAAGAAAGTTTCATGATTTCTATGATAAGAAGGAAAGAATAAAAATAATGACGACATATCTGGGTTTCCCTCTTCCACCTAAATATAAAGAATTACATTTCAAAACTCTAAATAATATTTATCCTTCCAACGAGTTGATCATAAATAGATTTAAATTTGAATGTGATAACTGTTCTATATGTAACGAACCTGAAACAACAGAACATTTATTTTATTTCTGTCATTCTGTGAACACATTATGGAAATCCCTTCACGATCTCCTGACCATCAAATCTATGAACATAGACTCCTTCTCCGTTCAGAATATATTATATGGATATGTATCTGAAAATAAAAAAGATGAATACTTTGTCAATAACATTATCATAATATTGAAATTCTATATACATAAATGCAGATATGGCAATTCTAAACCATTATGGTCTGTATTCAAACAAGAACTCCAGTTATTAAAACTTTCATTAGACTGTGCTAAAAAACCACAAGCCAAAAAGCTCTGATCACCTCGCTCAGATAATAAAGCCCTCTGACAAATTATTTTAGTAATTATGTAGATTCTTATATAAATAGTTAGTTGTTTAATTTACTGTACTATATTATTTGCAAAATCTCAAATAGTATTATTACCTAAATTTTAAGTTTATGATGGTTGATACGATAATTTGTTTAAGAATATATTGACCTTAGGAGGTATGATTGTAGATATTTGTATGTTTATATGTATCATTGTAATTTGAGATTGTCATTTGTTGTTCTATTTGTGTTCTTTTGTTCTGTATGTTCAGTAGTTCAATAAAGTAAAAAAAAAAAAAAAGTTCTATACCGAAAAAAAAAAAAAAAAAAAGTTGACCTGCAGATCTGCCACATTCAATATGGCGGCCGCTCTGACGTACCACTGCAACGGTCTGCCCGCTCATCGAGACGTCTATGTATTTGTTATAGCCATATACTTAGCTAGCTACTTACGTGGAGTCCTGGTTGAAAGAGGCACAGCTAACCCGCCGACGTCCTGGTCCGTCCACCCTGTCGGCGGTGTCTGAACCGTCAGAGATCTCCATCCTGATCCCGGGGGACCTCCTTTCCTCCCTTCGATCTGGACTGGATGCCCGGGATTGGCTGCACCTCGTCGCTCGATGTCGGCGTAGGACGGCTCCAATTCGGCAGGAATGCGGACCGGGTGAGGACGGATTATCCACTGTGTTCAAATTCGGCTCGGGATCAGTCCTCTAACAAGATCCGGAACCCGGTAAAAAAACAGGAGCAAAACAAAAACAGCTGGCGGAACTACGTCATCCACCCGGCTTTCTGACTGACTGACAGTCAAACCACGTGTCTGTTCAGGCTTCTTCTGGATTGGTCAGTTGTTCGAGAGAGTTTTATTTATTTTTAAAAACTCTATTAACAACATTAATCAGAACACCAAAGTTCATGCTTTTCATGCTTTCATGTTTCCTTTTCATCCATTAAATGAGTGACCATATTTACTTCTCCAATTAAAAAATACTTTGCTTAAAAAAAAAGTCTTATTAGAGTCTCCATTTTGGTTAGTAGTGTCCCACCAAAAAGAGTTAAGTTTCTTTGTAACCAGTTATTTAATATCCTTCCATCCATTATCTCATCTATCCATCCATCCATTATCTTTTACCCGCTTCTTCCATTTTGGGTCACGGGGGTCGTGGGTACCCATGTCCAGCAATCACTGTGCGAGGGGCGGGGGACACCCTGGACACGTCGCAAGTCCATCACAGGGACACATAGAGACAACCAACCATTCACTCTCACTCACACCTAGGGACAATTTAGAGTTACCAATCAGGCTAACATGCATGTTTTTGGTCTGTGGGAGGAAACCGGAGTACCTGGAGAAAACCCACGCATGCACAGAGAGAACATGCAAACTCCACCCAGAAAGACCCCGGGACTGGGGTTTGAACCCATAGATATCATATATGACTAGATACAGCATTGACCGCTATCGTCTATTTGCGCTGACGAGCTGTAGGGCCGCCATCTTGAAACGGTCGACCGCTCCACTCAGTGTAACCTGTTTCTCAGGAGCAATAAAGTATTTGCGCGTTTAATCAGTCATAGCTAAATACTAAACTCATTCTCACGATTTTTTTCCTCTGTAAATCTCAGGAGTACAGCCATTAAAGCTGAACACATGGTTCAGTGTATTTAAATATTCTTGGTGGGGTTAACATTAACACTAATAAAATATTCGTATGACACGTTTGCAAAACTCACAGTCACTGATACATTTTTATTAAGATATAT